GCTCGACTTTGTGAATTCAGACAACATACATGCAAGCGTTGTGGAAAGGTGGGACATAAGGAAACCAGATGTTTGCAGAATGCCCCTTGGAAGACAGTCACGCAACCTCGCCAGGACTCCGAATTTTCAACGTTGTGTTTCAAATGTGGTGTTTGCAACCACCAGCCCAAACTATCAGTCATTGCGGAAGTATAGTTACGACTATGATAAACCATGTTCCTGTTTGCCTTCAGTTGGACACAGCTTCTGATATTACGATAATTTCTGAGTCAACATGGTGCAAACTTGGTAAACCAGCATGTGTTCAAACTTCGCACGTCGCTCACGACGCGTCCCGGCTCGGAATTGCCCTTTCTTGGACAGTTCAGTTGTGAGTTTTCACTTCGTAACTTGCATGCTAATGGTATTTGTTACGTTACACCGCTATGGACATTTGAACTTGTTAGGTATTGCATTAGCATAGACAAACTCTGATTTATGGAGCATACCTTTGAACAGTATTTGTGACAATTCAGATAATTTTTCACTTTGTCCACGGATTTTCATTGTTCTGTTGCTCCTGTAACATTTAAAAACAGCACGGAAGCTCAATCACACTTCGCCTCTAAGTACCCTAATGTTTTCGCAGAGGGTCTTGGAATGTGCTGTAAGCTAAAAGCTGTGTTATATCCGCGCACCGGTATACGTCCAGTATTTTGTCCCAAAAGACCAGTGCCATACGCTGCCGTTGCGGCATTGGATGCTGTACTTAGTCGACTGGAGTCTATGGGCGTTATCAGTCCTGTGACCTACTCAGCGTGGGCCGCTCCTATTGTAGTATCAGAAAAGGCTAATGGCAGTTTGCGCATTTGTGCAGATTTTTCCACCGGATTAAATGACGCGTTGGAAACGCATCACTATCCTTTACCTGTTCCCGAGGATTTGTTCACAAGGCTTAATGGAGGGAAGATCTTTTCAAAAATTGATCTTTCTGATGCATACTTACAAGTAGTGGTCGAAGATCATTCAAAAGAACTGCTCACTATTAATACTCATCGAGGATTGTATCGCGACAATCGATTGCCTTTCGGAGTAAAATGTGCTCCAGCAATCTTTCAACAAGTGATGGACGCAATGTTATCCGGTTTACAGTGCGCAATGGCTTACTTGGATGATATAATAATCGTAAGCTCTACTGCCGAAGATCATCACACGCACCTGAACGAAGTATTTTCCAGGATAGATGGATATGGATTTCGTGTACGTCCCGAGAAATGCCAACTTATGATGTCCAGTATCACATACCTTGGTTCCATTATTGACAGTTCCGGTCGTCGACCTGACCCGAACAAAATAAAAGCCATCAAGTTAATGCCACACCCTACGAACAAAGCTACTTTGCAGTCCTTCTTGGGTTTGGTTAACTATTATCACAACTTTGTCCCTCAAATGCATGAACTCCGGGCCCCACTAAATGCACTTTTGGCAAATGAGTCAGTGTGGAATTGGTCACCACAATGCCAGAAAGCCTTTGACGACATTAAACAGATATTGTCCTCCGATCTTCTTTTAACTCATTACGACCCAGGATTACCAATAATTGTTGCAGCTGATGCATCACAAAACGGCATTGGTGGTGTCTTGTTGCATCAATTCCCAAATGGACATCAAAAGGCTGTGATGCATGTTTCCCGCGCGTTGACAGCAGCGGAAAAGAATTACAGTCAAATCGAGAAAGAAGGACTAGCCCTGGTTTTTGCGGTCAAGACATTTCATAAGATGGTACATGGGCGTAAATTTATTTTGTACACCGACCATAAACCTTTGCTGTCTATCTTCGGTACCAAACGAGGAATCCCTGTTCACACGGCAAATAGATTGCAACGTTGGGCCACCACTCTTTTGGCGTACGATTTCGATTTACGTTTTAAAAGCACGTCTTCTCTCGGTCATGCTGATGCATTATCAAGACTGATTGCAGAGTGCACCTCCAAAACCCCAGATGAAGACAGTGTTGTATCAAGCATTACCGTAGATCCTGAGATCAGACAAGTATTCCAAACATGTGTACGTCAACTACCAGTAACAGCGGAGGCAGTCAGAGCAGAAACGGCAACAGACCCCTTGTTACGACGTATTATGAGATACTTCAACACTGGTTGGCCATCACGCCCCTTGGACTGCTATGCTGAGCAGTTTTGTAAAAGGAGTTTCGCCTTAACCATCATTGATGGATGCCTGATGCTGGCCGATCGAGTTGTGATTCCTACCAAGCTGCAGCGGCGCGTTCTCAGCCAGTTCCACGAAGGTCACCCAGGAATCAGTCGTATGAAATCCATAGCACGCAGCTATGCCTATTGGCCATTTATGGACCAAGATATTGAAAATGTTGTTCGTTCCTGCAGCAGCTGTGCTATGGCAGCAAAATTACCTGTAAAATGCGAACTTCATTCTTGGCCGATCCCAAATGGACCGTGGTCACGCATTCATATTGATTTTGCCGGACCCATAGAGGGATTGCACTACTTGATAATTGTCGATGCTTACTCAAAGTGGCCCGAAATTTTTCAAACAAGATACGCAACTACCTCTATTGTCTTACTACACCTACGTCATCTCATTTCAGAATTTGGAGTTCCCGACAAAATTGTTTCAGACAATGCTTCGCAATTCACTTCCCAAGAATTTGCTGACTTTTGCCATTCTCATGGCATCGAACACATCCGCAGCCCAGCGTACCATCCGCAATCGAACGGGCAAGCTGAACGTTTCGTTGATACATTCAAGCGAGCGCTGATTAAAATGGAGGGAGAGGGGAACATCCAAAAAGTCATTGACAAATTTTTGCACATTTACCGTACTACGTCAGGTCCAGCAGTACCACAATACCTATCTCCATCCGAAGCGTTTCTCGGTAGGCGCGTCAGAACCGTGCTTGATGCTTTGAAGCCAGTGCAAAACAACGGACAACGCAATGCTCAAATGGAGTTGGCATTTAATCGCCATCATGGAGCACGCCCCCGGCACTTCATGCCTGGTGACAATGTATACGTTAAGAATTTTCGAGACGGAAAGTCATCCTGGATTCCTGGCCGTATCGTTGAACGAGTCTCAGGTGTTTTGTACAAAATACAAGTAGATTCTGTCATATGGACTAGACACGTGAATCATATTAGACCCCGTGTTGAAGTGCAAGGGACTTCCAAGAGACGGGAAACTTCTTTACCACTGAACATTTTGCTGGGCACGTATCAACTGGGG